CAAAGTACCAGCGAGGGGGAGCAGCAGGTGGTCGATGGTCTAGCTGCAGGATTTTCAAAAATGACAGATTTTAAGTTATAATGATTTCTCCGGTAAGGTGGAATTCGTTTTAATTAAAAAAGCAATAGCATTTCGTACTGAATCCGGGCCAGAGCCTGAAGTTCGTTCGCAATTATCCGCTTCCTGAGCAACAAGAAGGTCGAAGATCCCCTCCCCTTCTTAACGGGTTGTTGGACTGATGCGACCTAAGTCCTATTTTATTCAGTAGTCACTAGCACTAATTCAATACACACTATGCCCGTTCAGGAATTTGCTCCGGTACAGGTTCCATGGTTTCAGTGAGGGCATTTGTGCGGGAAATCTAAACTAATTGAAAAATATCCGTATAAACCCGCTTCAAGCGAATACGCAATGAACAACCAACAAAACTGGCGTGAAGATGCGCAAAAAGGAGTCGAAGAAGTGTTTGGAAAGTCCTTAAAATATTATGAGAATGAAAGAATCGCTGTACCTTTTTTTTTAATTTGGGTCTCTGGCGGAGTGTACGGAAGACCTCAGGTTTCCGTTAGCAAACACTTTTTCGTTCCTCATAATTTTGCTTTCCTTATATCAAACATTCTTGTGCGCCCCTTGACCCTACTTACAGCGCAATAACCAGGTCAAAGCACTTCATCTGACCAATCGCTTTCTCTTGGTGGAGAAAACGCGCTCCACATAAACAGCACTGCTGTGCTTGTCTTCTCGCACGCGTTTGTACAGGTTACAAAGGGCGCTTCGTGCCTAGATTTTCAAACAGGTATTCGTTCTCGTAAGACTTTAAGGAGACCTGTTGCCGTGGCCTGATTGTGATGTTCACTGAAGTATCATTTTCTTCAAAATAAGTCTCAGCACCAACACCAAAACTCTGCTCTCAAACATTTATTTTTAATGTACAAGAGCTATCTATTTTCTCTCGTCCATATTTTGCAATTTATGCGGGAATTAAAGTCTTCACCACTGACTTCCTTGAATAAGAGTCGCGTCACGAAAACCTAAAAAGGATAGGCTTAATTTTCTAGTAGTGAACTGGAGCTGAAGCATATCACCAGTGCAGCGATTAAAGCGACGAGGCTGCTCATTCGAAATTATCGTCCCTGCAAGTTAGTTTTGTATTATGAGTATGTTGCATTTATGACTCTGTACGTACTTCCACGCCATGTGGTTTCCTTGTCATAGCGAAGATTGCGATCAGCTGGAGTCCAGTTATAGAGAACATCTAGAATTGTTGAGCTACTTAACTCAACCCTCTCTCCACTTTGACTTACCAGCCCTGTGTGCAATAGTTGATGGTGGCGTGATACGAGGGCGTGTGATAAAGCCTTCCTCCTTTTGAGATTGTGGCATGCCCTCTTGGCGCGAAGGAACTTCTTCTTCTGATGATGGATTCGCTTGCGACTGGTTGCGATTACTGAGTGTCGAAAGACGATTCTCTGTCTCAGTTGGGTGTTCCAGCATTTCCTAAGAATTTATACAGAAGTCGGTGTGGGTTAATTGGAAGAAAGAAACATATACCATATGACGTTCCACTGATTGGACGTCACAGATCTGTCCAGGTAGTTCGTCTGGATCGCTTTCACAATCACTGAGTTGTAAACTCAGCACTTCCCGTTCGCCACAGCCTTTTTCCCGAGCCTACAAAGGGATCTAGATAATGACGGGTTGATCTCTAACAAGGACAAGTCGGTTATACTTTGCGAATGTAGATGTAATGATCACTCTTCTTTTCGACCCGAGCTCTGGCTGCCCAACCTTCGCGATCAATTTCGGCTAACTGAAAGCAGTAATCAT